TACACATTATGTGATCTAAAAATATCGTTAGTACCCATAAGGAAGTGTTGTGTAGTCGGCTAGTAACACACACTTGTCATATACCACTTTGAATCTTTTCAAAACTGACCTATTATGCAGTGTGAATTTTTTGCAGTTCTAAAGCTGGACGATTTCGGGCCGGTTGATGCGAATTCGGTGACGTGATTGCCTACATCAAGCTCGTCCGTCAGCTCACCGAGATATGCACCTGTTTTAGGCGTCCAATCTTGAACTTTCGATATGAAGATGGCGCTGTCTGTATCTACGTAAAAAACACGAGATCCTAATTGATCCATAAGCCTGTATAACTCCAAACGTCCATACGCAGTGGTGAATGCTGCAATAAACACATTAACATCACGCGCGGGGGCGGGGTCTTCGTCTGCGTAACACCACTGCACTAGCGCTACTGAGTCTGACACGAATGAGAAGTGTTTAATGATGTGGCCATTTCCGAAGATGTGGCGGGCGAAATCTTCTGGATCTGTTAAAAGTTCCGCTGTAGGTAAATTACACCTAAGACCGAATCTCCCCCAAAGTGAATTCAATAAAAAATTATTTATAGCTCTACGTGCAGGATTGAGTGTGATTTTGTCAATGTCCAGCTGAACTCCCTCCTTCTCAAAATACCCTTTGACGTAAGTCTGCTTGTCTGCGTCTGTCACTACGTCTGGCGGAAAACCTGAAGCCTCCTGTTTGAATTTGAGAAACGTCTTAACATTCGCTGAATAATGTGTCTGATGTCTGGGGAAAATGCCAGACTTCCTCAGTTCTGATGACTGAATAACTTTTAACAATAGCACAGGAGAGTTCAACAGACGTCCAAACTCCTGAAATGGCTCTTTCTTCATCAACATGCTGACACTGGTCCTGATATTTTTCCTCAGCACAGGTGCAACACAGAGCAAACAATAGTTTACCCTCTGGAGATTTGAAAGGCAGAACCGGGTGGAGTAGTTTACGTGGGGGGAGTACGGTACATTTAATAAGTCCAAAATGATTCGACTGGTTCAAAGTCCTTTAAAATTATTTCAGGATGACCGATGGGGTAGGTTTTACACGACTGCACATAAGGATAGAGAGATGTAAAGTCCAGATAGGAGACGCGTTCATCTTCGCTGGCCTTGTGGTACAGTTTGAGTGCATTAGTCCTCCCTCCGAAAAGCGATTCCCTGGGATTAAGCCTCGCTGGTGCATTATAACTACTCATAAAATCTTTGACATCAGTATCGTTTTGTTTGGCTTTCTCCCACTGACATTCTAAAAGCTCATGTACTTTGAGATTGTAGGTATTACGCAAGACATCCATCTTATTGTCAGATTGTCTTCTGAGCACACTGAATGTTATTTTTGATACCGGATTCAATTAGTTAGGATTAAAACGACAACAGTGTCCATGCCAGAAGCATCCTACAAATTCCAAGGCTATTCTATCACCGTTATCAACTTCATAATTGCCATCCACATGATACGGACCAAATCTGGCTTCGCCGTGATTTAACGCGTGATGAACGTCAACGTTTCTGCTATCTTTAATGTATTCGAGCCATTGGATGGAAGGATTTGAGTAAGATTTGTACTCATTGATGTAAGCATTTTTGTGTGTTAGGGCTATCGGGTCTTTGGTTAAAAAAAGTGTTTTGAACACTTTCATAGCGCACCCGGCAAGCGCTATACATCCGAACGGGTCCACGTTTGTACACTTGATAAACTCATTTCTGTATTTCATGCAAGCCTCTCGTAACAAAACAACATCGTTCTTGCAGTACATCCCAAGTTGTTTTTTGAAGTCAAACACCTGACCTGCTACGCTCTCGTACCACGAGTCAAATTTCATTCGTTCAGTGTCAGACATTGTCTGGTAGCCATAATGTTCTTTACACGGATACGGGCCGACATAATTCACATTCTGCAAACGATTCAAATTATGGGGAAAGAATCCTTTTTCGCAGGTATTTAGGTTTAAAGCAGATGTAATTTTTGACAATTTCATAGGCAAGAAGCTATAGCTGTCGATGTATCTCTGTTTAAAAACCTGATCGTAGATATAAACAAGTCTACATCCTTGGAGTATTATTTTTGGAGCTAGGCCCTGACTTAATACTTAAGACTTTATTTATTAATGAAATACTCGAGCAATATAAAAGAATCGAAACCCGAAGAATTGTGCGCGATAAATGTAAAATCAGCAAATTTTGGACATCTGAAATGTTTGACCATACGGTCCACGCAGTCGACACCTTCGGCTGTGAATTCTTCACCAGATTGCGAAACGGCACATATATAATTTGCTGTATGCTTACCATTTTCGTACATTGTTTCAAAGTCAAAATAAATGTAGGCATGACTATGCTCGTCAGGTTTGGCAGGTTGAATATAGCAACTGTGATGACCTTCATCTATCAGAACATCGCCGCAATGCACACATCTCGATGGTGCACATTTGTGCGATAATAGTTTATCACCTGACCAGTTTGCTCTGTACTGTCTGTAACACTTGTTGCAGTATTTTACAAGATCACAGAGATCTCACCCCTTCACTTTGTGGTTGTTTATGCATTTCATAACAGAAGTAAGATCTACAATATCTCAAACAATCAGCGCATTGTACCGATTTCTTAGGATGTGTGTAGCACTGAGTGTCATTGCACACGTTGCACGTAAATTTGCAATAATGTAAACTACGATTGTTAAACCCATGATAGCGGTACTCACAAACATACGAGTAACCTAAGAACCCCTTTAGATTTAGATCATATAGTAATGATTTTCGTGTAGATATAAATGTACCGTCTTGTGATGCATCTCATCTGTATTTTTATACACCTCCAGTTTACATGAGCACGTTCTGTGGAAGATGACTATTTTCAGATCTAGAAGAGATTCAAATTTAAAAATATCATGAAACGCAATTTTATCTTGTGGGTCGTAACCCAGATCTTTATGTATGTTTTTGCCTATTCTCACCAAATCACTGTCGGGACATTGAGGATTTAAAAAAGTGAGCGATGCATATGCTAAAACACATTGTCTGCTATATTTTTGGGGATGAATAGATTCATTTTATTTTTTCTTATGATTTCATTGTAGATTAGGTCAGTTAACTTCCTACGTACGCCGCCTTGTTTGTTTCGCGCTACCGACACGCATAACTCTAAAGCAGCATCTAAACACACATCTGTATTGCTTTGAACTACACGTTCGATTTGCTCAACAAATATACCAACATCGTGATTATTATCAGGTGTTAGAACTGCATTAATATCTGTGGGGAGACTTGCACCTTGCAGAGATACGTTTAGAAAACTATCTTCACCCGCCATCAATCTGGAAAACACTACAATCTCATTCAAAATATCTTGCAAATAGATATTACACGCAGCATAATCAGTGGCGATTTCACGAAAATTTGAAGTTCTGCGAATTTCTAAACCGTTAAATCTCGGTCTTGGGACAATTGTAAAATCACCCACACGACCACCTCCTCTTACTAGGCTAGCTATATAATTCTGGCCGAGACCCATATCTGGAGCTGCGGGATCATAACCTGACGGGTCATCATTAGATGGACCGACACCGATCTGTTCAACGTTGTTTATAGACGCACCCAACCATTCATGTTGTTCATCTATAAGTTCATGTAATCTTTAAATCATGTTAAGCGAATCAGGCTGTAACATCTGTAATTGGTTATGTAACTGATCACTATTGTTTTGAAAATCATGTCTAGGCCTTGATATCTGATCATCTTCTGAAGTGTGGTCATGTAAATCAGCGTGACATCTTTTACTGCACATTTTGAATTATTCTTTTTTTTAATTTTAAAAATCAGAAATAGAAAATTTAAAGCTTAAAGACAAGCGTGTGCACCCTGAAAACACCACCACCGTTCACATTGTGACATAAAACAGAAATGTACAGTATAAATTCAAAACCTCCATTTTCTTCCACAAGTAAAATAGTATCAGAAACAATCCTCAATAATAAGCATAAAACAATAAATCGATGGCAAACAATAATAAATGTAAGAAATAACAAACAATAATAAAATGTAAGAAATAACCCAATGCTAACAACAAAACGATGTCAATAACACAGAAACAAAAACAACCAGCAATTCAATACATAGAATATTACGGCCTATCTCGTCATACGATTGTACAAATCTGTTAACATTCTCTGAATAAGATTTAAACGTTCACCCATAAGAGATAATGCATTTACCACAAGTCTTTGCTCGTCGTGTAGCTCGCGAATCTCTGCCGATACACCGCTCAGGCTCTGCTGAAATTGACGGAATTCATTATACAGCTGCTCGTGACAACTTCTCCAAAATTCAGCTGCGTGACGTAAGGCCCCGTTGTGTTGTTGTTGACATGATATTTCTTAAAATCGACACCACATCACTTTGTGCACTAGCAACAATGTCTTCTGCTTCCCTGTAAGATAGGGGTTGTCCGGCCAAGTCGAAAAGTCTCTCAAAATACCGATTAACACGGCTCAGCATATCATAATCAAGCCTTCCATTTAAATCACGATCGCGGAACAGTTCCTGAGGATTTTCAGCCTGTAATTCCTCTTCCTCACTCTCCGAATCGGTGAAGGTTACCTGATCCCACGCATGGATCATCGAATCAGACCACGCAGTTAGGCCGCGCTCATCGTGGCCTTGTTCTGTAAAAATAACAATAACCATTTATTAATTTATCGAATAAAAGTCAAACATAAAACGTAATAATGAGTTTTCTGCATTAATACATACCGTTATTCTCAGAAATCCTTAAACGGCTGGTGGTCGGCTCGTCATCGGTTTCCTGCTCTGGTAACCTCAAGCGTTTTACACCCTGACCGCCTGTATGCGGGGGTCTCAATCGTAGCGTTGGGGGACTGGACGTGCCTGGGGTGTGTACACTCGCGTATATAGTCTGTATATGCAACCTACCGTTATTAACTTCGCAGTCATCATCACAGGTAACTAGTTGCGCCTCGTCAACTGGGTAAAATGATAACTAATATTATTATTAGACATTGAGTAGTTAACAGAAAAAGAGAAAAGACTTACATAGCTCTTTAAGGATCTGTTCCAAACCTTCGTCGAAATCCAGATTCTCAAAAGTACCTAGAGATTATAAACACATGGTGTTAAACAAATATTCACATTAAAACATATTTAAATAACTCTGATGAAAAACACTGACCATCGTAATTGTCAGCCACCGTTCCGTCGATTGATGAGATAATGTCGCACAACTTGAAGAGAGTTTACAGGTAATGAACGCAGCACAAGTTTTGCTTTTTAACGGTTCGGAGTATGGGCGGCTCTTTAGAACTCCGAACTCCTTAGAACTCCGACGGATATCGAGATCTGATAACTAACGGTAGGGGGTATTCCTAATACCACAAATCTTTAGTACGCTATACATGTATGAGGTTAATTTGTGAAATAGTGCGGTTAAATATTGTGAAACTTGTTTAAAATAATAATTCTATAAATAACACTATCATTTATACTTGATATGATTGCATAAATAAACGCTTTTATTATTTTACGTTTTAAATAGTTTCGCCTCTGTTTACCATAATTTACCTAAAGATATAGACTTGCAATACGTTTGTTAAAACTCTGGACGCATTTATATTTAGCTCTCATTATCATCAGCGTTTACCATACATTTAATTCAGATTCCGACTTCTGTTTGAATTTTCTACAAAATCTCTCCAAGCAAATTCATCAGGCGTAGTTACCCACGCATCTTCAACAGTTTACTTAACACACCAGGGGTATATTACACCGATGCGATGAACATCTTTTAGATTTTCTTCTTTTACAAATTAATTGGTGTGATATTAGCGGAGCGATCTACCTCAGAGCCTGTCTGGTCTTTATTACATACCCTGGTGCGTAGACATAGACTTTCATCTTGAGGGTGTTAAATATATCCTTATCTACACATGTTTGAACGCAAACGGGGTTTTTAACCTCCGAGAAATCAAAGTTCGGATATCTGTTTATCGATCTCACGCCTTGTAAACCATACGTTCAAATGCACGTTTGAAGTAGGTCTGATGCAAGTCTCACGTTGGAAAAAGCAAAGAGATCTATTCTCTTGTTTGCATTAGGTATACCTCATAAATGCTTGTGTGTGTGCATATACACGTTTTAAACATGACAACATTCTGAGTGAATAAAGATATCAAATTTAACTAAAATGGAAGTAAAAATTAAATTTTCCTACAGCATAGACTGCCTTGTTAAAAACAATCACTCCTGATCCGCCCTATTTAATTCACTTTGTGGTTATCGTCTTTTCTCGATCCAAGAGTATCCTGAACCTCTGTGAAATCACAACCACCAGATCTACATTATTAGTAACATTCCTGTTTTTCTTACCTAACCAGATGTTTGTCGTTAAAAAGGGTCAGTAGGTTTCACACCCTTTGACCAGCCTCTGAACTTTTGACTAAACTTTGACAAAGTTCACACTCACAGGTGCATGCCATAAATAGATACAATTGAGATCCTTTGATCACTGAACATATTAGAAAAAGGATCCATTTTGATCACTGAACTGATTACTCGACACACAACACCAAAGTTCACAACGCCACAACCCTCAAAAACATCTCAGGTTACTTATGTAACCATGGTTCCCTGAGTAGGGAACGAGACACTGCATCCTCTAGGGGTCGCTATGGGGAACGCCTCGTCGTGACCCATGTCTGAAGCATACGTTGAAAAAACACAAACTCGTTGGCCGGCGACAGCCATGAAGTCACTACCAGTGTGACTATAGTATAAATAGGTGCCGGGAGCACACATCATTCACTTCTTCGTCTGAAGCTTGCGTCCGCAGCATGGCAAGAAACCTAGAGGATGATGCTGAGCCATGCTGAGTGCCAGAACCATGGCGAGCACTAAGTACCAACTCTACCATATTGCTATGGGAGTTGCCCCAGTTGCCCCCGACGGCTGTCAGTGACGTTATTCCCTATGGCCAAAGGCCTAGGCTACATACCCCAAAATACTTACCTGTTAGGGCCAGACTCCTGGGCCCGGGGTAGAGCTCAAGGCTTGGAATCAGAAATAGATTCCTTTAAGGGAATACGACCAAGAGCCTAGAATCATACTAGTCTTGGCCTGTCACACAGGGGCTACCGCACGTTTCTCTTTGTATGTGCTGAAGGAACTGTCTCAACAGACCCTTAGTAGCAACACCCTGTTAAGTAGGTATCCAGAGGATA